TTTTTATTATTTTCTTAAGTTTTGGACTCATTTACATTTTTTTAAAAAATTTAGGACTATTATTGTAATTAGTTCTTTATTTTTCTCTTGTTCGTTTTATTTATAGAAGAGGGTATAATGGTCCTTTTAGGTTAAAAATAGGGGAAAAGGACGTTTTGCACACAAAAAGTGAAAGGTAGGGACGTTCCGTGCCAACAAATGAAAGGTAGGGACGTTTTCCACAGAAAGCGTAAAAGGTAGGGATGTTTTGCGCCAATTACCCATTCAAAAAAAGTGACAAAAAGTTTTAAAAAACTGCAAACATGCGTAAAAGTGACAAAACATTAATCGAAAACATTCGAAAAAGTAACAAAACACCAATCGAAAAAGTGACAAACCATTCATTCACCACTCTTCTTCTCACAAAATCTTACAAACAATCATAACCCACAATTTTAGGAATCAACTAGCAGGAAAAGAGTTACAAATTGAAAATTTCCAAATGGAATGCATTGAAAAGCAAACTAGAAGTTCAAAGGGCAATTCCCAAATCTCATCACAAGATGCTGCTTCCCAGTAGTCTTTTAGTGTGACTTCACATACTCTTGAACGATGTGGAGACCTTCAGTTTCCTTTCCATAATCCTGCAAATAGATATTAAATAAAGGTCACAACTTTGAGAAAGTAGGTATCAAATGAATTGATAACCACAAAAGTCATGACTCTGGTTATTTGGTTATACTACCTTCACGACAACACACGAGGCACCCACAACCTTCCTTGCTTTCCCTTCGGAATCAATCTTGCACAACTGTAAAACACCATTTAACACTAAAGTCAAATAATAGCATATATATCTTTTACTCAATAGTGTTGACAACATGCTCAAGAGGATATTCTGTCATAACCATTGTCATAATTCACTCAACAGTGATCACCAGCACGATTCTAAGCATACATATCATTTAAACAAGCACACCCATGTAGCTGATGATGCCAAGAATATGGAAAATTTTACTTACACCAGCCCATTCACCAAGAGTCTTTGCACTTGGAACGGTGATGAGGTTTACATTGTGGTCAGCATAGAGTGATTTAACCAATTTGACATAGTCAGGATGGTCACAGTCCTCTGCCAACACACACATCTGAGCTGCGTGCTTCTCAATCACCTTAGCACCTTCATGAAGGCCACGGTTAAGCCCCCCCATGAGCCACGATTTTCTCAGCACAAGCTGCAAGACAGTCATGATGTCCATTGGATCACCAAGAGCAGGTGCAGCGGGTGTCTCTACAACAACAGCTTCCTCACTGCAAAGCAACAAATTGAGAAAAACAGATAATTGTTAGCACAGCAAAGACTATTTCCTCCATGAGCCCATGATTTTCCTATGAAAGAAGTCAGATTTACATACCCAGACATTTTTTGCTCTTTCTTCAGTTGGCACGTGAGATTCCTTTAAATTAGATCTGTCATGTGTCAATAGAGATCACAACAACAATCATATACAGAATAACAACAATTTAAGCAAAACCATAAACAACCGCATCAAATTTCAAGAGAAATGTTGTCAAAAAATCAATGTTGCTAGAGCAAGATTACCAACAAGAAACAGCAAATTTGGAAAAATAAATAAATTATAAGGAGTTCAGTTGAAATTAAATCATTCACCACAATCAGACCGAGTGCAATTTTCAACATATAAAGCCCGTATTTACTTACACTAATATAATCCGATACTACCTGCAACACAAGACAAATTGGTTCAAAGATTTGATGAATAGTCCCCTCTGTCTCCCTCTCCCCCAATTTTCAGCATAATATACGAAGGACGAAACCCTTAGCCGCTTGGCCCTCTAAGACGTAAACAGGAATGGTAGCAGCAAAAATAATGGAGAAGAAAAAACATCTAAAGTTGCTAAATTTCGGGAATCTTCCGAGGAGCCTGGTGATGTTGAAGGATGTGGCGATCGTGGTTAAGATGAATCAGGAGAGAAATATTAGAGTGACAGAGATGAGACTTGGGAAGAAATCATCTTTTATAACGTATTAATTACGTTTTAAAGGATTTAATTAATTAAAAGGGTATAAATCAAATTGGTCAATTTTTTAGGGTACGGGGCCTATTTTTCCCAGTTCTAAATTGGGTTCAGTAATGCGGCCCAATATATTGACTGACCCAAAACAAATCCTCTGCGGTTCAAATGTTCAATTCCTTCTATTCCCTACTGTTTACACGAGACCATCGATTTTTTTTTGGAAAGCGCGTGAGGTAACAAAGACTTCTTCCTCTTCTTCACGCCATTTTCTTTGGTAATTTCTGATAAATTATGCAAAAACCCTCTTATCAGAACTATCCAAAACCAAGAATTTCAAACCCCCAATTTCAATTTCCCCTCTGCAATTATATATATAATTGAGAAAGTAGTCAGATGAATAATAATACGACGTCGCAGTTCATGGACAAGCAGATCATGGATCTATCCAACTCTCAAACCAACAATAGCAACAGTAATGAAGATTTCATCGATTTCATGAACCGCCCATCGGAGGATCATAATAAGAGGAAAGATGGTATTGTTCCGAGTTACGATTTCCTGCCGATTCGACCCTCCGGTGGATCAACGTCGCCGACGCCGCTGCGGTCAATGAATGTTGATTCCGGAAATGACGACCCACCGATTAGGACATGGAATTCTTTGGATTCTAAAACAAACTCCTCTTCCGTCAGAGTATTGCCTATGGACTTCCCCTTTCTTTGTGTTTCACTTATACACACACACACATGTGCATATGATAATTATTATGTATACTTGTTGGTTGGATTGCTTTGGCTTTGATTGGTGGATGATTATCCTTAGTGTTTTTGTTCTTATTTGGGAATGTGATAATCGAGAAACAGTTGCTTTATAATAACTCGTAATGGGCATTTTGAACTTTGTAGGAAAATGAATGGGCAGTTTACATTTCGTAGATTTCGTATTTCTGGGTTACGATTGCCATTGCATCTAGGATGGTCGGAACTGGAAATAATATGCTTGTTTGGAGTTGCTTGAGATTATATATGGATTAATAGTTTCTTAAGAGTTTTTTCTTTTTATTTTTCTTTTAACACGATTATTGATATTTCAGTGATGCATTTTGGGAGAGATTTTAAAGGGAATTCTTTTGTTACTAATGCTTATAGATCCTAGCTGGCATGATATTTAAAGAATTTGTTATTTTGGAGTTCCAGTACATTTCATTTATATTACATCCGTTGGAGCTTTAGTCAAGTGAATATAGTCTTGTGATGGGATTGGGAAGTTAAATTGTTAAGCTTGCAACATCTGGCTGAATTGTTTTATTTACTATATTGTATGATGTTCTTATTGCAATTTTCCTATTTGTTCAGAATTATAGTTCTCTTGGTGCCATTGAACCTGCCAAGGACATTTTAGAGAGGGACCGTAATGTCATTGATGCATCTTTGGTTTCTGAGATTGATAGAGCAATGAAGAAGTATTCTGATAATCTGATGCATGCAATGGATGGTGTTAGTGCACGACTATCCCAGTTGGAGACAAGGACCCGCAACCTTGAAAATTCTGTGGATGATCTGAAGGTGTCTGTTGGAAACAACCATGGAAGCACTGATGGAAAATTAAGACAGCTGGAGAATATTCTTAGAGAGGTACTCTTTTCTTTGCCTGTATATATATTTTAGATTGATAATGAGAAGATGAATGCTCTATACTGCCACTTTAATCTGTAATTGGCAATCTTTCCATGTCTATTTTATGGACAAGGAAGTTTTTTGGCTCATTTATTTTACAATCTTTTGCTATTGCAACCATTTTTGTGGGTCTTCTAGTCTGCTACTTAATGTTGGTCAATTAAATAATGTATGTGACCAGAATTTTTACACAATATTACTTTTGAATGGAACTCTAATCTTAGTATAAAAACCTAGGTGCATTATGTTGTGCTGGTTATAATCATGTAACCCTCCCTTTTCTCATCATTAATATATTTGATTCTGGTTTGACACGGGTATCTAATGGAACCCACAAGTTAATATGCAGATGCAAATTTCTATAATCAATGTTAGTTAAAACTCTATTTGGTGCACATTTTGAGTCAAATAATGCATTTTTTTGTTTGATGTGATGGGGAATATGCGTAGTTATAAAACCCGGCCCGACCCTGACAGTCGGCTTGGAAAACTGGCAGCCCGGACCCTTGATCGGGCCGAACAGATTAATTTAATCGAAATGCACTTGACTCGGTCAAAATCGGACTTTGACCGAGTTAACGGCTATTTACCTGGCCCGATTGACCGGTTTGATTGGGTTTTAAAATTCTCTTACAAAATTTTAAGGTCCAAGGTAATTGAACCTTGGACCTCCAAGGAAAATAATGGGTTCCTCGCCACTTGAGATAGAGTGTTTTAATATTACTTATGTAGAAATAACTTATATCTATTTAATGAATAATTTATAAATTTTATATAAAAAAAAAATTTTAAATTTTCATTCAACCTTATACTTTATTTTATAGACTTAAATAATTAGTGAAAAATAAATTAAAAAATTTGTTTTGCCTCTAAAACAAAATTTATACTTTATATTTTTTTGTAAATTTTTATGCAATGACCCACCAGTTGAACCATCGGGTCATCGGTTGAACCATAGACCTGCTGCATTGTCCGGGTCTGACAACTATGAGAATATGTGGTTAAAAAAAAAGGAAAAATTATTGATGTGATGGAAAATATTATTTTATTGAATAATGTGGTTGAATATGAGTAAAAAAATGAGAATGAAAAAAATAATGTGACTCAAACATGAGCTAAAGTTTAAATGTGAAACTTGACAGCAATGTACAACAGTTCAAAAATATTTCTTGAAGGTCTTTATATGTAGAATCTTTAAGTATACAGAGGCAGATATTCGCATTCAGGGAGGTCGGTATAGGCATGATATATTGCATCTTAAATTATGTCATTAGTATGTGAGCAACATCTAGATTGACCTTGCACCTTTTCAACTCTTGCTTACGTTATGCCTGAAAAATCTTTGCTATTTGAACTGGTCCTCCCTCCATGGTTATATAATCCTCATAGGTACCTTTATCTTTTAGTTAGAGGTTGGAGAATGCAAAAACCAGATTTTGTAGGTATGACGTCGGCATGGATAAGCTGAACTTGGTTTAGAAAAATTTTCTTACCGAATCTAGGTTCTTTCACAGTAGAACATAATATTGAAACCGTTCAGAAGAAACTGGTTTTATAAAAGTCAGTTTTGAGGACTCTCTTCAATATTTTTTCATTGTTTCGGTAAGTACAAAAGAATCTACTTGCATTGCATTTCACATGTCATCATAGTTTGAAACACTAAGTATAGACCAACCGATCTTAGTGTGGTCGAAACCTGAACTGAAAGACGATTATGGATTTTCAAACAGACCCTAAGGATTCTTATATATTTTTTGCTTATTATAGTACTGAGTTTTTTTTCCTTCTTTCACCTACTTAACAGGTCTTTTCCATATGAAATCATTCAACATTTTCTGGAGAGAATTAAAATTTCTGGTTATCTTGTTGTTTTGTAGCTTAAGAAAGCGTGTGTGTGTGTGTGTTTTCAGGAAGGGGGGGGGGGGGGGGGGGNTTGAAGGATGGTCCTACAGCATTCCTTCTATACTGTAAATTAATTGTGGGCATTGCTATTTATGTGTGAGACTGATATTCAATTATCAGCATGGTCATTTATATCAATGCAGAAAGAAGACCAGAAATTGTATGCCTCGTGTTAACTTCTATGCTTATAACATGTTTAAACTTTTATTATAATCATTCTTTCTCCTGGTTATCAAAAAAATACCTGCAGGTGCAAACTGGTGTTCAGTTTATAAAGGATAAACAGGAAATTGTAGAAGCTCAACTGCAGATTTCTATGCTGCAAGTTTCGAAGGTTGAACAGCATGTTGAGAACCCCAACACTTCTCGCACTGATTCTACCCAGCTTGGAGCATCTGCTCATCATCAATCTCACCAGCAGCTTTCTGCAGTTCCTCTTACGCAGCCACCTCCCACCTCCTCTTTACCAAATGCTCCTCCTCCACAGCAGAATCTACCGCCTCAAGTTCAGCTTCCCAACCAGTATTCTCAAAACCAAGTTACTTCTGTCCCTCAGCGAGAGTCTTACTTCCCCCCACCTGGCCAAACTCCAGAAAACCCAAGCCAGCAGTACCAAACACCTCCAGTGCAGCCACAGCAGATCGCCCCTCCATCACCACCCCTACAGCAACAATATCAGTCACCTCCTCAGCAACACTACTCTCAGCCACCCCCACCTCCTCAGCAGCAGTACTCTCAGCAATCTCCACCTCCTCAACCACACTCTACAAGTCCTCCTGTGAACCCCTCTCAACCTCAGCTGCCATTGGGTCGTCATCCTGAAGAAACACCTTATATACAGCCACCTACTTACCCACCGAGCATTCGCCCACCTGGGCCACCTCCCTCTCATCCCTCCAGTGGAGCTCCTCCACCACAGTTTTATGGACATCCACCCAACACATACGAGCCTCCATCTAGCAGACCAAATTCAGTATATTCTGGTTCTTATGATTCGTCATCTGGTCTAGGGGAACCTTATTATAGTGGCTCACCATCACAGTATGGCAGTGGCTCCCCTGCGAAACCACAGCATCACTCTTCTATGTTGGGCCAGAGTGGTGGAAGTGGTTATCCCCAACTGCCTACTGCTCGAATATTACCTCAGGCGCTGCCTACAGCCTCTGGAGTCGGTGGAGGGTCCGGTTCTACTGGTAATGGAAACAGGGTCCCTGTTGATGACGTGGTTGACAGAGTGACAAGTATGGGATTTTCAAGAGACCAAGTGAGGGCAACAGTCCGAAAGTTGACAGAGAGTGGACAATCTGTTGACTTGAATATAGTTTTGGACAAGTTGATGAACGATGGAGATGGCCATGGTCCACGAGGTTGGTTTGGTCGGTGACAGGTTTCTTCTGCACTAATTGTTTGCGAGTCAACTTTGCTGGAAGGAGACAATTGCTCATTATTTGAGATTTTCCTGTGACTGTATGTTTTCATATTCCCATTTTTTTTATTGCTTAAATATTACTTCATTAGTCCGTTGTTTATATCCTGCTGGTTCCTTCTGTTGCTAAACCTTACAATGCTTTTGGAGTGTATACTTTTATTGCCCTTTTCCTGTTGTCAAACCTAGCAATAGTTGGGCTTCTGCGCTTGTAGAAGCTCTTCTAATAACGGCCTTTTCTACATGTCCAGATGTGGTAGTTTTAACGCCAGCATCGCCAAGATAGGTTTCGTTTATAACCAAAATCTCGAGACGAATAATATGATGAAAGCGAGTTTACAAGCGCGTATCTTTCTTTACATGCCACTGATGTGCGAGATATAAATTTGTTGTGGTTCATGGGTCACTACATGCTAGTGTGGGCATGGTTTGGTTCGATTTTAATGTGTGGATGTCAGTGGTTTGAGTTAGGTTATCTCCAATTGGGTAGTTAACACATAACGTCCCCACTTTTACTGTTATTGTGAAAAATATCCTTATCTTTCTTTTTTTGACATTTTCACCCTTATTTTCACTTTTTATTACACAAAAGGTCCATTTCATTCATTTTTTCAATTAAAAATCGTAAAATAACTAATATACCATTCTCTTTAAATAAAAAAAGAAGGAAAAAAGAAAAATTTAATTGTAATCATAGTCCCAAATTTTTTTAAAGGGCACAAATGAGTTCCAAATAAATTATTAAAAGGACAATTAGCACATAATGTCCTTATCTTTCATTATTATTGCAAAAAAGTTCATACATTTTATTTTTTTGGTATTTTCATCCTTAATTACACATTTGAATACATAAACCATCATTTTTATCCATATTCATTCAATTTCTCAATAAAAAAAGACGTGAAATGACAAATACACTCTTTTATTTAAATAAAAACTAAACAATTAATTGCAACTATATTTTCAATTTTTTTAAAAATTGCAACGGGTCCTCACTAAATTAATAAAGAAGTTATTTTTTATATAAAAAAAAAATGTAAACGAGTCACAAATAAATTATTAAAGAATTAGAAATAAAAAAATTATTTAAATATGAGGATTTATTCATTATTTCACAGTTCTTAATTGAACAATTGGATGAAAATGATGGTTTGTACAATCAAATGTGTAATTAAAGATGAAAATGCCAAAAAAATAAAATAAAAAGTATGGTAGTTTTTCGCAACAATGGTTAAAGGTATGGACCTTATGTACTAATTATCCTTTTAATAATTTATTTGGGACTGATTTGCACTTTTTTAAAAAAATTGGGACTATGATTGCAATTAAATTTTTTTTCTTTTATTTAAAGAGAATGGTATATTCTCCTTTCACAATTTTTAATTGAGAAAATAAATGAAAAATGACTTTTCGGGCAATGAAATATGAAAATAAGGGTGAAAATGTCAAAAAATGAAATGTAATGACGTTTTCCACAATAAGAATGAAAGGTGGGGACGTTATGTACTAATTACCCATCTCCAATTCATGAACTTAATTGATGGAATGCAACCTTTAATTTCATCTGTTAATATGTTATCTTACAATGTAACCATAGAGTTGGATTCCAGAACCAAAATTTCCAAATTTTTGCAGTATAAATTTTGTCACGGTTTATTCTCGCGTCGAAATCCTTGTCAATTCATTTTCAATATGCTAAAAAACATTTGCAAACAGCTCCCAAGAGAGAAACGAACGAACGCAAAATCAGGCTTGAAGTCTTGATCATGTCAAATCAGTCTTCCATTCGGCATCAACAACAATAGCATTGGACTAACCTGGACATGTACTTAGTGTGCCAATTCATGGTTTATTGGTGGCCAAACCGTGTTCTCTCTCTCTCTCTCTCTCTCTCTTTTTTTCTTTTCAAGAAAGAATATTGTTAGGTAGAGATTAGCGAATGATATGTTTGATATGCCAACTTTTTCTTCGAACTTGAAAAATCAATTCCTTTTTCTTGCTTTTGGATTGTTTGATGAGCCAAATTTTCCACCTAAAATGTTTTGGTCACGCATCCAAATTCCATGAAAATAGGGAATTCATTTTCCCCCCTTTTTGGTGGGAATTCTATGGGCTGCTGTCCATTTTATTTTTGTTTATTTTTTATTTTGACAATGGAAACAAATGTCATAATCAAGGGCAAAATTTTTTTTTACTTTAATTGACAATTTCCATGTAAAACAAAGTCAAACGAACACTAAATTTTGATTAAAAAATGATTTTTTAGGAAACAATTTTTTTTTTCCTTTTTTTTCTTACTTTTTGGCAATGGGAACAAAATTTTATAACCAATTGTGGAAAAAATTATCACTTTAATAGATACTTTCCATGTAAAACAAAATCAAACAAATATAAAATTTAAAAATTTTTCGGGTGGAAAATTATACCAATCATACACACTTGAAATTATTTTCCCTACAAAACATTTTCTAGACAATTATTTTCCCTGAAAATCATTTTCTTTCCACTCATTTTCCACCATTGTAATCAAACGGACCCTTATAGTCAATTCAGTTATATGACTGGATAAAAATATATTCAAAACTGTCGATTGCATTGCTTAATAAAGAAGAATTTGGGAAAAAAGACTGCACATTTTGGACGGTTGGGGATTATGAACATTCCACTTGCCATAAAAGCAAAATAAAGGTACAATTTTGAATTGCCGACAATAAAGATAACTAGAGTATGAATTTAGTAAAGTAATTAGATGCACTCATGTTCAAGTCAATATATCTTGTTGTCTGTTGACTTTAAAATATTATCGAATATTTTGATTAACAAAATCTGCTAAAATAAAATTGATTAGTGAGACCCGCCACCTCGAGAGGAGGTGACCGTTCTAAACCGATGATCAAATTAGAACGTCGGAAACAAGGAAAAAGATGAATTAGGGATTAGGGAGTGTGTGTTCTCCTTCCCTCAAGGTGGGATAATCTTCGAACATTTACGTAGCGGTGGCAATGGGTCGAGCCGAGCCAGCTTCGCCCACGAGCTCAAGTTTTTTTTTTTAACTTTTTTGCTCACATTTTTTACGAGCTCATGAACTTTAGACTCGTAGGCCACTCGCGAGCTTGATGAGTGAGTTTCGACGAGCTACTCGACCATTTTGTGACCACTACATATATATAGGGGAAAGTGATAGTTAATCGATGAGATGTCAACATAACCTATGGTGTCATCTTTCGAATCAAACAATTTTTCAAGAATATTATACTTATGATACTCACTCACCTTTTGCTTTATTCGAAAATCAATTTTCGTGTTCAATAAATAGAAAGGTGCCGCTATCTATATATACAATTGTTGTATATTCATCACATTTAATATTCGTCGCTTTTTAAAATATTAAAATTTTAAAATATTATTATTTTAATTCAGGTCGAAATTCAATATTGTCATTATTAAATCCATTCATTTAAACGCTATAAATCAACACAAATTTTATGTATTCATCCCACCCTAAATACATCCCTAATACAATTTCAATTTTTTTAAAAAATAAATGACTATATTCATCCAAACGTTAATGTAAAGTAACTGAAAAGACAATACTTCTGTGTAGAGCTAAAAGTCATTAACGGTGGGCGGCAAGACTCCCATCTTTTGACACAATTTTTTTTTCTTTCAAAAACAAAAATATAAACTGATGAAATTTGTATATATGTATTTCCTCAATGACAATATTAAATTCATAAAATTCACAATAAAACATAATTCTTACTTTTTCCAATTCTTCTTCATATATTGTTATATCTTCATGTATTTTCTCTAATAATAAACCTTCTATTATTGGTTTGATTTCAGTTGACGATATTTTATGATTATTGGGATTTTATGACTTTAGTTTAATATGATATTTTATGATTTTAATTGAAGATGATATTTTATGATTATTAGAGTTTTAGATAAATACAAATTCTAAAAGAATATAAAAAGGTTTAAAAGAATTTAATGAAAATAAGTATTAGTGGATGAATTTAGAACAATATATTTTTATTTAATTTTATATCCGTCTATTTAAATAAATTTACATAAGGAATGAAAACTAAGAGCATCTCCAAGAGCCTCTCTATTTTCAAAGAGCATATTCTATCATTTTGAGAATATCTATAAATTTAGAGAGTTAAAATTTTGAAATACTCCAACAAACTCTTTATATTTAACACTGGTGTGATCGGTAGAGATTAAAATCGAATTAAAATTAAAAAACTAGTCGTTGTTGTTGACTTTTATGAGACGAGTGATCTATAAATTTAGAGAGTAAAATTTTGAAGTATTCCAACAATTTCTTTATATTTACCGTCAGTCTACAAGTACAGAATTGATACAACAATTTGAAATCAACATAGATTCAAAGTTGGAAAAAAAAAATACACACACACATAAATTCATAGGACGCTGCCACAGCAGCATCCTGTAATAATTCTGTAATTATTCCCTGCACTCAAGGAATAATTCTTATATTTAACACTTAATTTTACTATTCCAAAAAATATTTATTATTTTTCTTTATCTTTTATTTTAACTAGCTTTTCTTTAAATTATTTTACTATTTTCCTACATTGAAAATTGAAATGTTTTGAATGCATTTAATTATAAAGAGTGAGTTTGACTCTCCAAATTTTGGAGAGCCAAGCCACTATTTAAATTAAAATGTTAATTTAAAAAAATCTCTTAAAGTATGATCTTAAATATTGACTCTTTAAAATAAAGAGAATCTCATACTTAAAGAGTCTCTTGGAAATACTCAAATATTTATTATTCAAAATAGTCTATATTTAAAAACAAAAAATTCAAAAGTAGCATTAAATTAAAAGACGTTATTTGTAGGGAGAAAACTATTTTATTTGTAATTTTGTATAGAAAAAATCTACAGATACTCACATGGGGTGGGCACATGTAACCTGGCTTTTTAGGTGGGTGGAGCGAAACTTGGCAAAATTTGAGCCGCAATTATTAACCAAAATTTACAAAATTACCTATGTACCCTTTTAATATTTAATTCGTTCTATTTGAATGAATGGCATTTGTGATAATTTAGCAAATATTGAGTCAAGAGTTGTGGCCGGAAGAGGATGAAGTTGCGTTTCCATCTTTCAAATCAAATCAATCACAATTATCGTTCACACTGGACTTGGGCGGTAGGGTATCTTTGTGTTGGACCACTTGACCTTGACTAAAGGTATTGCTGGACAATTATAAGGGCCCATATTGAGAGACTGACATGACTGATTCTATATTGTAGCCCATCATGGCCCAAAACTAACTGAGCGTGCAATAATAATCACATCAATTTTTTTCCTTTAAAAACCTAATCAAGTCTACTATTTTCTTTTTGGCCGATGATAGACACCAATTGATCGGAAAAATATACTATCATTGTACACAACATATATCCTGTAACATCATTGCAAGTAATATCAGCTGACACAATTATCAAAACATAAGTCACACGTTACTTAAATGGGTGACACGAAATTCAAATTTGGTCATAACTATTAGGATCTCATGAAACATATCAAATGTTTATATCTTTATCAGTTAAATATATGGCCCCAAATCACACAACACAATATTTGTTACGATTGACTTCCTTGCATCGGTAACAATGCACATCAGCCAGAAGACTCGTAACATACCATTATATGTCAACACAAATTTTCTACATTTTGTAAGTTTCATGAATTATGGTCTTTATGTTGTTCATCACAAAATTAAGGGCTTGTTTGGGAAGGATTAAAATCTAATTAAAACTGAAAATATAACCGTTATTGGGTTCCACTCGTTTAATAAAAGTCAACTCCAACAGCTATATTTTCAATTTTAATCTGATTTTAATCCCTCCCAAACAAGCTATAAACAGTCTGAAATTACCTCGAGGAGCTTACGGGGACAAAATAATTGTTACAATGAGAAAATATTAAAGAATTTAACAACATTTAAAATGTTGTATATCAATTAAAAATTGTGGTGGCTATATAATTACCCTTTCTCAAAACTCAAGAAAATAATTAGTGATAGGGTGAACCTAAATTTTTACCGTTTGCAAATCCCGGTTTCTTTGGCCCAAAAGTTGGTTTTCCATCCATCATATCAATCACTATTAATATTTAATATGGTAAATAGCAGCAAATATCCTCAATCTTTCATTTCTTTTTCAATTTCACCCCTAACTTCTTTTTTGGACAACGAAGTACCCAAACTTTGATAAATTAGCGGAATTCATCCAAATATATTTGACCAGAATATTAGAAAACTGAAAAGATCAAAATAGGTATTCCAGTATCTTTAACTAAACTATATATGTATAAAAGAAAATAAAAAATTCATAATACAAAAGATGTCAGCAAACCAAAGAGAAATCTTACTTGCCTACCGCAAGAACTAATGGTGTAAAAGGTCTAGCATCAAAGACAACAAAGTCAATAGCAGCAAACTAGATCCGTCGATGAATAAGAAGAGAAAATCTCCTAATTTTGGTGGCAATGGATTTCGCATAGTGGTGGTGACAAGGTGGTGTGTTTGTAATAGCAGTGCGAGCATGTAGTGGGGTTGGGTACAAAGGTAGAGAATATGATTATCTATTTTCTTACTAAAATCATTAAGGTCATGTTTGGGCGTACTGGCTATTACAATTTGGATCGTTGGTGAACAAAAAATGGATCATTATACAAATTTTAATTGAAAAAATTCTGACAGCTTTGCAGTACCAAGTTGGCGATTTACACTCCAATTCCCAAATTCACCCTCCTCATTAATTGTCTTACTCAGAGAAACTACACTTTGCACATGTCATGGAGGATAAAATGGTCATTTTGGTTCCATTTCTCTACAAAACGTGCAAAGGAGGGCTGTCAAGTGGGACCTTGTGATTTGACCCAAAAATTGATTTTGGTTTGAGAAAAGCACTTCTAGACGCGCTAATTTATGTACTACTTTTTTGAATTTTTATTTTTAAAAATATTTTAAAAAATGATGATTTTACCCTTTTGAATTTTTGAATATTCTAGACTTCTAGTCAATATCGTTGACTAACGAATTTTTGGATGGAAATCATCCATGATGACTTAGCTGTTCAAATAAAAAGGTTGGGGACGAAGTTGTAAAAGAAGTGAAAAGGTTGGGAATGTTTGTTACTATTTACCCTATTTTCACTCTAATTGCACTTTGGACTTGGGCCCAGGTGGGGTGTCTTGGGCCACCTGAGCGTAATGAAAGGGATTGCTGGACGGTTAGAAGGGCCCATATTGAGAGAGACAGATGGGACTGATTCTGAAATTGTAGCCCAAAAGTAACCAAGTCCAAGCGTGCAATTTCAATCACATCAATTTTCCCTTTAAAACCTCATCAATTTTGTTCTTTTCTTTTCCATTTTGACACAATTTTCATAAAAGAATTGACTTGGCTAGCACAAGCAGTGAACCTTGTAGTTCAATTACACAACATGACTAAATAAAATTTGACCGGTCGAGCCTTAATAAGGGTATATTTTAGCTCCATTTTTTAGAATAATAGACTCTGTAATAATGATTTTATAGAGAATGTGTGGTTAAAAAATGTCAAAAAAAATTTAAATTTATGTGTAAAATTATTTTGTTGAAAGAATGCGCAGTTGAAAATGAATTTGAAAGAAAATAATTTTTTAAAGAAAGGAGTTCAAACATAACTAAATAACATACACATAAAATATGTCGGGCAAATAAAAGGTCTTTTGACTTGAGAAATAATCAAGCAAAGGATACAATGTGCTTGAAATTGATCCCTACCTAGTACCTATTGTTGACTTTGTGTGCAAGAGGCAAATAAGAGCTGCACAACTGAAAAAGAGCAAAATAATTTGAATATCGACCCACAAGCAAAGACCTTTGGCATGTATGGGACTCGAGGACTACACGATGAATGTAGTTAATGTCCAACGTTGATGTGGCAACGTGTGACGTTGTCACTATGGGCAAGAGATCTGAACCCTAGCACTAGTCCTCGACATGGTAACTATAAACTATGCCAATCCCGAGCTGGGATAAGTCACACAAGATTTGATTGTAATAAGTACTCCCTCCGTCCCAATTATATAGGTTGGGTTTCCTTTTTCTCTTGTCCCAAATATATAGGCTTGTTTCCTAATGTAGAATATTTTACACAAGATTTGATTGTACTAAGTATTTTTTTGTGAATTATCATGTAATGTAGTTTTAATTAGTTTGTCATTTAAGCCAGTTCATTTCTAATTAGGGTTTTGAACTCAATAAAACACTGCAAATGATTTGGATCTTAATTAGCATTATCTTATCGTCTTAAAGTGTAACAATGGTTTATCGACACGACAGTGTTGCAAATATATGTAGTTATATGCTGAAATATTACTAGCACGACGTACATATGTCCTAGTCGAGGACCAATTATTTTGCACTCCCAATATAATAACACTCCATTGTCCTACTCATAACAAGTCATACATATTAATGAAACAAGAAGCATATGAAATTGCACCTTCTTCCTAATAATGGTCACAATATATATGCTTCTTCACCAACCCAAGATTTATTATAGGTCTTTATATATCTTAATTACATGCTCTTGGAATCATTTGAAGAGTCATTATTCCATGGAGAAGCATGTGGGTGAAGCAATCCTGGATTCGACTCTCCTCCGTTATACTGAGCATCAGTACTCGAAAATGTTGAATTGGACAGAACTGGAAACGAATGTGATACATCATATAGCATCAAATCTGCATTTGTAGCATCTAGTTCCTTTTGGAGATGAAGGACTTGCCTTTGAAGAAAAGATATTGCTCCAACACAGCCATAAACAGGATCTTTTAATCGCGCCTCGGCTTCATATGCAAGAGAATTCACTGCATCTTCTCTCTGATGAGGGGGGATATCATTTAGTAATTTGCTAACATTGCTTGCCCCAAATATTTTGTGTACATTGGCGAATTTCGTTGGCTCCTCGGGAGGAAAATATGGTGCAAAAGTGCAACTTGGCAAGCATTTTCTCCTTAAGAATTTGCAGGCAGCACAAGGAGGGTTCGAATAGCTGGAAGAAGCCATTTTACTGCAAATTGAATTGGCCAATCAATTCTCAAAGTCACATAAAAAATGGTACTATTCATTTGCAAATTAATTATTTTGAGAAAAAAATAGTTTTCTCTTGGCCAAACTTATCTTTCAAGAAATCTATATAAAATGTAAGCATATATATATGTTCATTAGGGTGATAGAATCATAGATAAACCATTCATCAAAATTAGGAAAAATTGTATTCGAAATATCACTGAAAATGAGAAAACGCGTTCTATGAAAACTACTCATCTAGAATATAAACATGGAGTCATCGGGGTTCAAGATACCTCTTACCAATTTGTAGTGGTCTAGCTATACCATAAGAAAACTCGAAGATTGACAAGAAAACTAGTAGAATCAAACAAAAGATAAACAAGTATGCAGGTCACAGGGAAATCATCTTGGTATCCTCCTCCTATGATCTGTACAGTACATATCCATTGATAATTGAAAAATACGTGTCCTTCCATAAAGAATCATACAATAAAATAAAATAAATTACTTTAGATTACATCTAAATAAAACTCAATCCAATAATTAAATAAAATAGAAACTTGATAGTATACATGTATAAATGTTCAAACCCGAACCACGTAAATTTAGTTAATTCCTCAGTTGTGCCTTATAAGCGATCTTACCTCTTAAGAATAAAATCTCACACTCGAATACAAAAAATAAAAAATTATTATACAAGAATTTAGACTACTCAAGAAGTTGACAACTCGATCGATATTAGTGGTGCATTCCATTGTGTATATTATTATTCTATATATTGATACATTAACCAAAAGTCAAGATCATACTGCGGCACATATATATCTTACTTCATCAATCTGTCCTGCAAAAAAGATGCAAGTCAAAATTGGAAAAAGATGGATCTCAAGGAACTAATCCAAATCAAGAACCCAACAAAATATTTACCTCCTTTTGCTCTAATACACCGAATCAGCAGGAAAGGGAACGAGGGTTTTCTTTTTTTATAAAGAAAGACAAGTTAGAATATTTTGTTTCGAGCTTCTTCACAATTCACATTGATTCTTTTAAGGATGATGCTATCAGACAGACATAGCAAACTAAAGATTTTAGGATTTAATGTTGCTAAATGTTAGAGAAGAAAAGGGAAAACCCTAGTAGCAAGAAAAAGGACACTGCACTGGAATACAAAGGTAAGGAATTATGATGAGTTTGGTGAATGGTGAAGGAATGTCGAGTGAAAGCCTTTGCCATAATTAATAGACCTAAAATAATTAATTAAATAATGCTGAATGTGGCCCCTCTTCGTTTTATAAAAATAATCACAAGAAAAGTAGAAATTTAATATTATTTATAATTAATGTTTCCATTTTGTAATTTATTGTAGTCATAATCAAGTGAAACAAATCAAGAGGCGGAATTAATGCTAGTTACTTCCAAAATCATGCTTATTTCTTAGATTCTATGATTATTTTTTTTACTTAGCCATTTGTTTGGTGGAGATTAAAATAAAAATAATTTGTCTATGTTTTAGTAAAGTCTACCAAACAAACTTGAGTTGAAAACCTACACGAATTTAACAAAAATGTTCAAATTCGACTTCTTATAACAGTCGAGCTGAGCATGAATGATCCCAAAAACGTATTTTCACCATAAAAATATCTTATGAAATTATTTACTTAGGGTTCGTTTGATTGCAAGAATGAAATTTGGGTGGAAAGAAAATGAATTTCAGGGATTGAATTGTGTAAAACTTGTTTTACTGGGAATTGTCAATTAATTGTGTTTGATTGATATAATTTTTCACCTGGAAAATATTGAAATTTTGAATCTTTTAATGATCGTTTGACTTTATTTTTCATGAAAATTGTCCATTAAAATGATATAATTTGTTACAATTGGGGATGAAATTTGTTTTCATTGTAAAAAAAAAAAATTTTTTTTAAAAAGGAAAATTTTGCCAAGAAAAAGCTTTTCCCACCAAGTTTTTACCAAAAAGGGGGTTGGGTGAAAAACCATTCACCAAGAAAATTTCGCCTATCAAACAAGCAAAAATGTTGAAAATGGAAAACCAATTCATAGTTTCATGGAAAAGAAATACTATGAAACATGGCCTTACATAAATTTAAATGAAGTTGAACTCTTCTTGTCATTACTTTCCTAAAAAATTTAAGAACATGAAAACTTGACTTGGATTTAAAAGAACGTTAGTTGTACCCCCCAAAAAAAAAAAAGCAAAGCAAAGCAAAGAGAAAAATAGTTTGAACTTTCAAGTTACAAGGATATTAACATAATGTCTGTCATTCTTTAATTCAAACTGTCCAAAACAAAATTCCTGGATATATTTGTTGCTTCAATTATTGAATTATCCAGCAACATTATTTACAAATATCAATTAATTTGATATATATTGTCTTAAACTCAATGTCGATATGTGTTCATGAAAGGACACATAATTAGAAAATCCAATGGAAGTATCTATCCTTTTCGATTTACTCCATTTTATGTTTATGTACACGAGTTGCATTTAATAAACATATTTATATTTGTGATTGGCAGATCCAGAATTTTGAGTGAGCATGAGCGGTCGTTGACCATCAATCGTAAAAAAATATTAAAAATTAAATATAATAATTATTTTGCTAAAACTAAACATATATAATTNCCTGAAACGAAAAATTGAAAGCTATCAGTTGTGACTAACCGTAGACTACTGCGACCGTCGTTGGCAACTGAAAATTCTGACTGTAGACTACCGACTATTTGAGGAAAATTCAGGAGTGAGCGAGAGAAAGAGAAATGGAGGTTAGGGATTAGGGTTGTGATTGTGAGAGTTTGAGTTCCTTTGTTTTTTTAAAATTAGGATTTGGGCGGGTCTTAAATCGTAATAACTAAGAAATTAGAAATTGACAAAAATACCAACAAAATGACAAAATTATTGAATTTACAAAATTGGAATTTCGGATCAATTTAAAAAAAAAATCAATTTTTTATTTTTTATTTTATATTTTTTTTTTGCCAGTCCGGTTTGATTTTAAACCGTAATTAAAATTCTCAAACCTAAACCAAACCGTTTTTGACCGGTTTGGTTTGGTTCAAAACCATTTCGTTAACGGGTCCATGTGGCACCAAACCGCCGATTTCGAAATTGCGGTTTCGGTTCGATTTTTCGGTTGGCGGTTTTTGCTTACAGCCCTAATTTTATGATATACATGGAGAATGTTTATCAAATGACATATTGGTCAGGTTTCCTATAAATCAAAGGAAGAGCATATGTTCAAATCCTTACAATTGCATTAAAACAACTAATATGGAATATATATTATTATGTTAGATTTAGTTTAAAAATTCAACAAGTGTCATAATAGTTAAGTATTCAATTAATCTTAAAGGAGGTCAGAGATTCGAATCTCCCTCCCTCTTGCATTAGTTTTGCTAAAAATTGTAGAATTAAAAAAATATACAATAAATTAGTTTAAAAAGGATTCAATCCCTGGACCTCCAACTTATACGTGTAACATCTAACCAACTGCGATACAAGCAATATTTGAAAATAAGGTGAATCATCAGATATATAACCTAAACGTTTTATCTACTGTAAAAAAAAAAAAAAAAAAATTGTTCCCCGACAGATCAAGCATGGGCGGCCGTCTAGGCTCGCAGGTTACTAGGTCCGCCACAGTTTGTCAAGAACATGCAATTTGGGGATAACAATTAATGTTGTGATATGCAATTTGGGGCTCATCGATTGTTACCTACTAAAGTTATCAATTACGATAATCTGCAATATCTCAACCTGAGTGAGAAAGGGGGTTCAAGAATCTATGTTCTTTTATAAAGGCTAAATCACTTGTTTTGACTTTTTTCACCCAATATTGTATAGTAGATAGACATCTCCCTCCAAGTTGTACACGACTTTCATCGAATGTGGCCTCAACTGAATTTTAAATATATATGTGATATCAAATATGATATTCTATTTACTCCCTTTAATTTGAGTATTGGTAAACAAGAGTTCTAGTTTCACTTTGATTTGCCCCAAATCCCACCCTTGTTATTTTCAATAGACCAAAGAAGAAACATTGACATATCTTGTTTTCTACTTCCTTATTATTTTCCCTTAAAGTTATCTACAAATGCTTCGACAGCTTCGTTGAAAATTAGAAATCCTAATTTTACACCATCGAGAACAATAAAATCATAAAAAGAAAATAAATACACAAAAAACGACATGTAAATGTTCGTCTTAATAAGAAACTAGATCATCTTCTATATCTGCAATAATTCTCTATGATGAAAAAAATTTAAAAGAGAAAAACGGGAAGCCCTATTAGGATTATACAATTTAACACATTGAACTTCTAACATCTTAATTAAGTGTGGTGTATATATAATAAGTGTTAATTAATAGGTCTATAGTAACATGCGGTCACTCGAGACTAGAATATTATTGCATCATGACTTTGGACTATATGGCGTGATTTTCTTTAATGGTATTGAAGGAAAAGATAGGTATATACATGAATATAGAAATTAAGAGTCAGTTCTCATGATTGTAAAGCACTTGCTTAGGCTTATAAAGATTTTCTAGACATTTCTCTATAGGTACACGAATCTATATTGTTATCTTATCATACGTAATCATTGGTGTGTGACAAATAATAATTCCATACCATTCAATCATAAGATATTTGGTTGTTAAACCGTCTTGATCATTTACTATTATATGTTGAACCATTTAATCTAAAAGTTTAAGTGATTAGATCGTATTATGATTATATCATTTGAATGTTATCTTCAACATATCTCATTACGTAGAGACGAGATTTTTTTTTTTCCTGACAAAGCATAATGAGTGCACAATTAACTTAAATGAGTGACGGAGAGGCTTGAACCGATAATTTTTGCCTGTGTTGATATCATGTTATGTTCAGAAAAGAGTCATTCATTATTATTTATAAAGGGTATTTTGGTATTTTCCATTTCTAAGGCAATTTTTTGGCATATCAAATAATACGACTTGTTTGCCTAACATGGTAATCTAAAAGTTTGTACTATTAAATAGCATCACATATATATTATTTAAATATTATTTTCAAGATTCTAACTTTAGATCATTAACGTAAGATTAAAACAAAATGCAATGATCAATTTTTCAAAATGGTTATCTTTAGTTGCAGTATGTTGGTGGGATAGTATCTTGCAATCTCTTTGCTTCCGGGATACGAGTAGAAATGTGTGAGAGAGCTTCACAACATAATCATGGGTCGCAGTGAAAATTTTCATATTGGGTTTGTGGTCCTCATGTCCAAAGAAATCTTTAACAACAGTTTTTAACCACCATTAACAGTCAAAATTGTTTATTCCATATCTCTGCAAGAATACTTTATGCATTCTTATTTTATACCCCCATCAAATATCATACACATTTCATAAAATGTGTTTTTATGGGACACCGAATTCTCAAAATGTATCAGATCATATACTGTCATCTTCTGTAGCAAAATTCTATCCAATTCTAACGTTTCCATGAAGACTAACATAAATGGAAAAGAGACGAGTATATAGTCCGTTGAGTGCATGTACAGTACACAGTTTGGGAGTACGCAACATGTGTTAAGTAGACTGTATAACTAAACAAAATTTCAACCCGTTTTTATGTCCAATACTATCTAATCCTTCATATATACTATACTATACAATAACTATAAATAAATAGAACAATGAGAAGTTCAATCAGGAAACTAGAAAGTAGTCTCGAATTGCCTCTCTTCAATGACGGAGGGTTTAGCACAGATGAAGGGCTTTTCATTTCAGCTTCTGGAGTTTTCTCTAAATTTTTATTTACTTCAGAATTAAATGAAATTCTTTTCTTCTGGGATTCAAGGGTACCAATTTCGTGCAATCTACTTGATCTGGGCAAGTTAACATGGGATACATCGTTTGAAGTCCAATTTTTAGTGTCACTCTTTGTAGATAATGTTTCATCCGCAAACAGCTTTCTATGTTCCATTCTTGGCAATGCCATGACTCTCTTCCGAATTGAGGGTGGAGATATTGTGTTTGAATAACAACTGCTCTGGATGTTCCAAAAACAAATCTAACAAAGATTTGAAGGAAATAAGATGCAGAAATCACAATAGAAGGATGCACTCTCACCAACATGAATAAGGGGTTAAAACTATTTTTCCAACTTATTGATTGACTTTCACTTTTATTTGGGTTTAGGCACGCCATGTCTCCATTAGTTATGTTAGAAAATATGTGGCTTGTGGAATTGATGATACGGCTTATGGAAACAATGATGTGGTATTAGAAACTGATTTGGTTGAGAAGTCGCATTGCAAAGGACAAATATAGTGAACATCAGTGAGTTAACAGATTTTAATGCCACATCATTACTTCTGTTAAATAATTTACAGGGACAAGCAGTGTCTAAACTGAAATAACTGCGAAAGTTGAGTGACTTAGTTAAAAGAAAAAAAAAAGATCAAGCAAAATGATACTAGTGATAACAGTGTTTTTAACCCCAAAATAAGAATTAGCAGGAATATAGTATCAGTTGGATATGCTTAATTTGTTGTGTATCTTACTGTGAAAGCATCTGAACAGGTTGCGACTTTCCCTATCTCTGATGGGCACCTGGAGGAAATATATTTTGACAAATTTGATTAGAGTTGTAGCAGTGAAGGTTAAAGCATCATAATCGTTTTTGCTAGAGAGGATTGGACAGCAATCGACAGTATCAAAGTCTGCTCTATAGACGCGCACGTCATAAGGAATGCAATGCAGAACTCATAGAACTCACTATTTTGTTATGGGGATTCTACGACAATGAAAGTGTTCAAAGTGACAACAATAAGTACAGGCCCTTGTTATGCGAAGCAAGACTAACCTTTGCACTTGACTCATAATAAGGGCATGCCTGAGTAACTGGACCTTTGAGATGCCTTGTATCCCAGAACTTAATTACACTGAAATTAAAGGGGAAACGAATATAAAATTATCAATATCTCAAGATAGTAATAAACCAGTTGAACTTATCATCTATATTTTCAAGCATTACAAAGTTTCTCAGGAACCTGTCAACTGCTCCAGCCATAGCAATAGAAACTTCATCTTCAAGATAAAGAACAGATGTGATGCTCATGGATTCAGCCTAAAAGAACTGAAGTTAGTAGGGAAATGAATGTTGAACATTAGAATAAATAAAATTATTCAGACCTTTCCACGCCTGAGCCATCTCCGACCACGAGAAAGATGAGCCTCACAAGTATTATTAATAATTGTAGTAATTGGCCTGATAAGGCAGAAAAACCGTGATTATCATCCAGTGTTCAAGATATATCCATCAGTTTCATAATGGTGCAGTATCTTTGTTACAAATTCGTTCAATAACAGTTCTCGATATCAAATTGTTTTCAAAATTAAACCAACATTGTGGCTCTTTCAAGAAACAGATAGAATAAATACTTAACACAATTCTAATGCTATAACGTACTCAACCTCTAACATGAATGCAGATACTTACGATACACAAAGCTTATGAGAGGTAATATCTGAGCACCTTGTGTCCCATAGATCAAACGACCCGTCTCTTGAACCAGACGCAGGTCTGTTAAAAAAGTTACATCAGTCGCATTATATTGAGAAAATGTTTGGAATGTCAAATTAGAGTGATTTATATCTCTCACCTATGATGAGGGCCATTCTTTAAAAATAAAAATCAATCAGACACAAAGTGATGATACATAAGGGAATGACAAAATCATGACCTTAATCTGAGTAGCAGGATGGGAACTAATAACTTCACGCTTCCAGTGTTGCCCATTAATGCTCGGATGCATTTCTTTTCTTGTGTATCCCATACCTTGATCTGTTCAATCGTCCATTAACGTGCAATGAGTGGTCAAGTTGTCAAACTGAATGAAATAATTCATTTATGCTTAGTTCTTCATTTCTTGCTTTAAATGGATATTGCAGTGGAGGAATATCGCATCTTTTAGGATTTAAAAGAAAACTTAAAATTGGAATTGCCATATAGTACAAGAAGTCTTTTAAAACTCTATTTAATTCTGTAAATGTGATCTAAGCACTGAGGAAATTAAAATATAATTTTTTCGAAGCAAGGTCACTCACACTTTGATCTCCT